ATTTGATCAATAAATATGAGATGCCCTCTCAAAAAAAAAAAAATTGCTAGACCTGCAAAGAAGCAAGTAAATGTGACCAGAAGAAAAATAGTCAATAAAAACAGACCCAGAATGACAGAGTTGACCAAAAAGTAGATGAAGACTTTGAAATTGCTATTACAAATATGCCCAAGGATTTAATGGAAATCAAGAACATAATGAACAGAGAAGTAGAAGATATAAAAATGAGTCAAATGGAATTTCTGAAGCTTAAAAATACAATAGCTGAAATTAAAAATTCACCAGATGAGATTAACAAAAGATTAGATCCTGAAGAAGAAAATATTAGTGTACTGTAATGTTCTTGAAGACAAAACAACAAACTACAAAAACTAAGGACAGAAAAAAAACACTAAAAATAAATGAACAATAAGCTGTAAGTAGTATCAAATGGCCCATAAGAGAGAGAAAGTGGACAGGTTGCGGGGTGGGAAGCCCAGGGAGCTGTGGGGGACGGGATGGTATTTGAAGCAGTAATGGCTGAAATTTTCCAGATTTGATAAAAAGTACATCCTCATAGTTCCCAGAAACTGAACAGACCCCAACCAGAACAAATACCAAAGAAATCACATTAATTCACTTATCCTCAAATTGCTGTAAACCAGTCATGAAAAGAAAATCTTAAAGAGAAAAGATGAATTATATAGAGACAAAAAATTATTATACACTTCTCATAAGAAATAACTCACTATTACAGTGTTGAAAGAAGAAAATTTTGTCCCTAGAATTCTGTATCTAGTGAAAATATCCTTAAATGAAAGCAAAATAAGGATGCCTTAAGCAAAGGAAAGCTAAGAGAATTCTCCAGCCGACCTGAACTACAAGAAATATTAAAGGAACTTCTTTGCGGAAAAAAAATGATACTAACTACAAACTGATATACACAAGAGAATGAATAGTCCCAGAAATGGTAAACATATGGGTAAATTTTATGTCTTTTAAATTTTATTTTTAAGATACCTAATAAAAAGAACACATTAAGTAGAAAAAAATACATTATAAAGATAAGAGCAGAAATCTATGAAATAAAAAAGAAGCAAAGGAGAAAACCAACCAAACCAAAAGCTGGTTCTTTGAAAAGTTCAATAAATAAACTCTAGTTAGGCTGATTAAGTACAGGAGAGAGAAGACACAAATTACCAATACCAGTAACAAGAGAGAGAACATTACAATAGATCCTACAAATCAGAAGTCAGCAACCCTTTTCTATAAAGATTCAGGTAGTAAATGGTCTTGGTTTTGTGGACCATATGCTCTCTAGAGCAACCACTCAACTCTGTTGTAGCAGTAAGGGAGCCATAGTAAATGAAAGGTGTGGTTGTATTAAAACAGTATTCAGAAACAGGCTGAAGGTTAAATTTGGCTTGTGACTGTAGTTTGATGCCTCTTGCTGTAGACACTGAAAGGATAATAATGGAATATCCCGAGCAACTTTATGTGAAGAAACTAGACAATTTAAATGAAATAAACACATTCTTTAAAAGACTCAAAATTTTAAAACCAGTATAAGAAGAATTAGAAAATTCAAATAGTCCCATATCTGGGCTTCTCAACTTCAGCACTACTGACATTTAGGGTTGGATAATTCTTTGTGTGTGTGGACTGTTCTGTGTATTGTATGGTTTTCAGCACTATCCCTGGCCTCTGCCCACTATATACCAGAAGCATCATCTAGTTGCAACAACCCAAAATATCTCAGGATGTTACCAAATGCCCCCTGGGGGAGGGGCATCACCTCTGGTTGAAAATCACTGCCTTACATCAATGAAGGCAATTGAATAATTAAAAACCTTCCCTTCCTCCTCACCCTGCACTCACCCAAAAAGGAAAAATAAAAAACAGAAAACCGAACTCCAAGCCCAGATACTTTCACTATTCAATTCTATCAATAATTTAAAGAAGAAATAATACCAATCCAATAAAAATTATTTCAAAAACAGAAGGGACACTTCCCAACTCATTTTACTCTAATATCAAAATCAAAGACATTACAGGAAGAGAAAATTATAAGTCAATATCCCTCAATAACACAGATACAAGGATACAGCAATATATAAAAAGAACACTACATCATGAACTAGTGTGTTTTTTTTACAGGAATGCAAAATTGGTTCATCATTTGAAAATAAGCAATATAATCTATCATACAAACAGAATAAATAAGAAAAACCATATGATCATCTCAACAAATCCAGGAAAAGTATTTGAAGAGAACAACCATTGTCATTTTTAAAAAATCTCAGCAAACTGGGAATAGACAAGAAGTTCCTCAATCTAGTAAAGGGCATCTATAAAAAAAATCTACAGCTAATATCATATATAATTTGATATACCATTGCTTTGTGAAGAAATTGTAAAAATAATGTTTTCTCCCTAAGAATGGGAACAAGGCAAGAATGTCTACTACAACTACATGTACTCAACAGTATACTGTAAGCCCTAACAAGTGGAATAAGACAAAGAAAAAAAAAGGCACAGATTGGAGAGAAAGAAGTAATAGTGTCTTTATAAATGACATAACCTTAAGCATAGAAAATCTGAAAAGGTTTCCAGAAGTTACCAAAACATAATTGAATTTATCAAGGTCTCAAGATATAAGATCAATAGACAAAGATCAATTTTATTTACTAGCTAGCATTTTCTTGAAAAAATGAACAAAGTAGACCTGTCACTTCTAGGAAAACAATTGATAATATTTGTTGCCAAATAAAATTCAAGCTTACAAGCAAAAAGTAGGATTTTGGAAATCTTCCACCCTCTTTTGTGAGTTTATATCGGTATAAGCCTTTGAAAACAGGTGTGGCTAGGCTATCTCCTATCTAGTGCATTCAATCTCTTATCATTGGATCCTAATCTGGATTTAAACCTCTATGAGCTTAAAAAAAAAGTCTCTATACACATACTTCCCTCTACCTTACAACTACTGGGTCCATGTAAAAAACTTCTTGAAAAAAATTGCTTACACCCACATCTACTTTCTCATCTTTCACTCACTCATTCAATAAATTTTGAGAACAACTATGTCCCATATGCAGTTCTAGGTGCTGATAATTCAGCAGTGAATTGAACAAAATTGTTGTGCTTTTTAAATCTTACGTTCATGTCTTACATGCATGGAGACATGTCCAAAAAATTGTCCAGAACTTGTAAATGGGCAGAACAGTGTTATGGGTGCTTTTTGATTTAGTGCTGGGGTATACCTTTGACTAGGCTATCATACAACTTTGCAGGGGTACAGGTTAATTTGTAGAGGACTGATGGCAATGTATATAATTTTTATTTGAGAGCAATGCAAACGATTCCTATCCATAGTAATGCAAATGAATTTTGTCCACTGGAGATGGAATTGGTTTTCATCTGGTAGAAGAAATAATCCCAATCATTACAGTTATTACCTAATAGGACATTGTTTTTGTAACTATCAGCAAATTCATTTCAGCATCCTTTGGCTGATAATCTAAATCTTTTAAACTCAAATTCTCATTTGACCAAGTCTTGGCCATCTTACTGATTCCCTCATTAATGGATGAGCACTTTATTATGATGAATAGTTTTGGGCATGTGTTCATTTTATATTTGTCAAAGAGTTGTGTTTTTGACCTTTTGAAAGTATAATTTAGCAGACTATGTGAAAATAAATACATGTCAGGTGGTAATAAGTTACAGGAATAAAAGCAGGGTAAAAGAACAGTTATTAACTGATGGTGTAGTTTGTACTATTTTAGAGAGTGTCAGTTGGTCAAAAGTCCTGTAATTCTCAGTTGTAAGTACAATCCATCCTCTTCTTTCTTTACTGCCACCAAACTAATCCAAACCATCATCTCTCATCTGATCTCCCTGCTACACTCCTATTCTGATCATCAGCTGACAGATTTTTTGAAGTGATGTACGCAAGATTTTATTTGTGATATTTAAAGTAACGCTTTCTGTCCTGTAAGTGTGAATATGAGGGTGTATGTTTTTCACTAGTGAAAACAAATTTAGACCATATCAAGGAGAACATAGTTTGAGCAAAGGTTCAACATTCCCTAATTTACATGTAGGTTTGGCACTTCACAATACCAAGAATACTGAAAAAGCATAAAGTGCTACAAAGTCCCCTTGCTACTTCTAATTTTCCATGGTGAAGTGATTGTTGTCTTAAAATTCACACTTGCTTCATCAGTCCTTCTGTAACTCCAGTAAAAATGTAGCCACATTTCATGCCTTTTTCATGGAGTTGGAAATGGTAGCTGATTACTTTTGAATACTCAAGCTTCACTGGTTGACAGCTCACATCTATCAACTGACTATAAATCAGAGGTCCCCACAACACCTTCCAGGTTAGATTTATTTGCTACAGTGGCTCCCAGAACTCAAGAAACCTGTTAACGCATTAAGTCACTGGTTTATTATAAATTATAATTCAGGAACAGCCAGAGAGAAGACATGCAAAGTGCAAGACATAGGGAAAGGGCGCGGAGCTTCCGAGCTCTCTACAAGCAGACCACTCTCCCAGCAGACCACTCTCCCAGTACCTCCACCTGTTCACCAACTTGGAGGATCCCAGATGATCATTTTTGGAAACACTTATCTGATCACGACCCTCCTCTCCACTGGCTCCCTGCTGGTAGAGTCGTTTTGTGGGGCCTAAAGCTTATACAATTCGAAGGCCCTCTTTAAGGAAAATAATACAAAATTAGGTATAGGGCCCCGAAAGAGGCTGTGCAAATGACAGGTCCTGCAACTAAAGCTTTATTAGCTTCACTATAAATCCGCCTCTATCTACAAGTCTAGCTTCGTTTCTTTCTACTTCAGGATCTTTTTTCTGTACAACTTCTGTCCAAAAGGCCCTTCCAGACCCTTTTTGCCTGGCTCTATCAGTATCCAACCTGAAGTCCTCCCTGATTCCCCAACTGGGTTAGGAATCTTTACGGAGGCTCTCCCAATGCTCCAAGCATCCTCGCAGAGCCACCGTCCTGTGCGAATCGTTGCTCTTCTCCAGCATCCTCAAAAGATCCCTGTCGCGGCGGGGTTTGCACCGGGTATGTGCAGGGGGCGGAGCCCCGGAGGGAGACAGCCTTAGTTCCCGCCCCTGTTTGTCAGGAGCGGCGCGCACCACCTCTCCGGAACCCTCGGGTCGCCGGTTGCGGTTCCGGTCGGAGTTAGCCGGCGGTGCACGACGACATGGCAGCGTTGGTAGTGAGAGGTGTTCGGGGCGTGCTGAGGTGTGCGGAGCTCGCCACGATCCCGCGGAGACATCGGCATAAGAAGAAATGGGTAAGGTCCGGCCGGTGACCCAGGAGGGAGCAGTGGCAGCGGCCTCTTGCCACCGCCCCTCGGTAAACTCCAGCTCTTCCGCTAACCGACCGCCCGGGGTCGGTGCGCTGCTCCAGCGCCTCTCGACCGCCTCTTTTCCCCACCTCTCAAAGGGCGTCGTTAGGCTCCTCTTTCTCGCAAATGTGACGTCGTCGCCACTGTCTGCCCTTTTATTTTGTCACAGATCTTTGGCCCTCTTGCAGCCTTCTCACTCCGCCTCTCTAAGTCGTGTCATCACCTCCGCCCTCATTCTTTGAGTTCTGTCACCGCCTCTAATTCTCCGGCTCGAAGTTACCCTCCCCTTGCTCCCCACTACCCGTCCCACTTCCCTTCCTCCCTCTCCCCCTCCCTCCCCTTGTTTCTTACCCGAATTCTTCCCCCACTTCCCTCTATGACCTCCGCTCCTTCTTTCCTCCTAGAACTTCCCGCCCGGCCGGCCCTTACCCCTCCAAAAATGTCTTAGCCACAATCCCTTCCGTCTTGGGTTTCTGCCGCCCTCCTGGAAAGGATTCAACCCCTTCCTCACTCTCGAGCTGCCTCTGCCCCTGAAAGGTTACAGTGACCGCCCTGCCCTTATTCCCCCAGTCTGTCCCCAAACCCAGACAAAAGGTGCCGTGAAGCCTGGTCTCTCCCCAGTTCTCTAGAGATCTTTTCTCTGCCCCCACCTGTGGCCCTGGAATTTCTTGTATAACTGGCACGCCCACCTTGGGACCCCGACAGATTCCCTCCCCGCCCCACAGCCTCCCCTGCTCCTGGGGAGATGTTCTTTTGAACCCAGTTCTTCACCCCTCAGAAGGCTTTACTGCTACGAGCCTATCCTCTCGGGTTTGTCCCCTCCGAGCCTTTGTTTTGACCGGTTCAACCTTATGGGGTTACCCCCTCCCCGCCCTCGCAGCCCTTATTGCAGCTGGATCAGTCCCCCGAGAAAACCGAGAACGCCACGTCCCTGTCCCCGAAGCGCTTACATTGACCAACATACTCATACCTACCGCTGCCCGGTGACCTGTCTTCCCCTCCCTCACTGCCCCCCAGGAACAAGCCCAGTGACCTCTCCTCCCCTCTCTCACTGCCCCCCAGGAACAAGCCCGGTGACCTCCCTTCCCCTGGCTCATGTGCCTTTGGACACTGGCCCCATGATTTCATCTCCCCTTACTCATAGGCCCCTGGGAACTGTCTTCATAAATTCTTCATCTCCTCATGCTCCCCAGCCCATGGAAACTAGACCTGTAGTATCCCCACACCTTTCTCACAGGGTTTTGGAAACGGGGCCCATAATCTCCCCTCTGCTCTCTCCCTGGCCCTCAGGGAGAAATTATAATGACCCTTGTCTTTCTCCAGCATCTTCCCCACCCGCTGGCAGCTTTTGCCATGGATGCCTTAAGTCTCCAGACTCCTATGAACTTAAAACACCAGTTGACCTGCCCCTTGGGAAAAACTGCTGTGGCTCCCCACTTCCTTCTCAGGAAGGCACATCTGGTTGTCCCAGTTGACCTCAGGAAGGCTCTTGTCAATACTCTTTCCCCCAGAGGCCCACATACCTGCCCCTGGGAACCCTTATTGTGCCATCCACCTTCCCCCTGGGAGTACTGGTTCTTGCTCACCCCAGTCCCAGGCTCCCATGGAGACTCGCTTTGAGTCCATTTTCTCCTGGGAGACTGGTGGGAGTTCTTGCATCTTTGTAGCCCCAGGCATCACAGTTTCTGCTCCCCCATGTCCCCAGGAATCACCTCTTCCTGGGTCATCTCCCTGTCCTTATTCTGCCTGCTCCTTCCCTTCACCCTTAGGCAACCAGTTTATATCTCCACCCCAGTCACCCGCCCAAAGAAGCTATAATGACACCCCTCTCCCTACCTCAATTTGCTCCCAAGGGAAGGCCCCCAAATCCTCAGCGTTAAGACCAACATGTGCTCTCCATGGAATGCCGCTCCTTGCTTACCCAGCAAACTTCTCCTGAACAGCCCAAGGCCCCTAAGGCCAGCACTTCTCCTCTACCTCCCTCCCATCCTTCTGATCTCTCCAGCCCTTGTGTGGGAGCATCCATCACACCCTGCTCAAATTCCTGCCCTAAAGAATTTCCCCAAGGGACTACCTTACCTACTGTGGTCCCTAGAATCCTCAAAACTGTTATTCCCACCTCCCTCCCCTCTGCCTTCATTATGATCCTGTGTCACCCAATAACTGTGTTCAGAGCAGCGCTCTTAGACACTCCATGGGCACCCCCTGCAGTACCCATATATATTCTGTGATTCCTTCTACCCCTAATTCCTGCCTACTGTTGGTCCCCTCCATCAATCCACAGGCCTTGCTTATTGTCATAACCAGCCCATGGTGCCCCCCTGTGGCACCTGTAACACTCCTAGGGGCCCACCTCAACCCCATCACCGACGTGTGTTACCTCCTTGTTCTACTCACATGTATTGTTTTATCCCTTTGAGAACACCCTTTGACCCCCAAACTTTACCCATTGTCCCCGAGTCCCCATAGCCCCTGTTACTATGCCCCGTAGCCTCCATGTCTACTCGGTGGCTTCTTGAGGCTCCCCCAAAGAGTCTCCCCAGATCCCCTACAGTTGTCCTTTGCCTTCATCCAAGAGTTCCAGCAGTTGTACTAACCCCAGCTGTAGTTCACCTGTTGTTATTAGTGAATGCCAGAGCTCTGACAGCCAGGCCAAGAATGCCCACCTAAGCAGAAACTGGAGCCAGAGTGAGAGTCCCAACTGCCCTAGCAGAAGTCGGAGCCAGAGCTAGAGTCCCCATCAAAACAGAAGTTGGAGCTGGAGCAATAGTTCCCACCAAAGCATAAATCAGGATCAGAGCAAGGATCTTCAACTTGGTGGAAATCAGGGCCCCAGCAAGAGTGCTTTCCAGAACAAAAGTCCGAGCCAAAGCAAGAGTCCCCACCATGGCAAAAAAAAGGGGCATGAGCAAGACCCCTCGCCACAGCAGGAGCCAGAGCAAGAGTCCCCATAAGGACAAAAGTCATGGTCAGAGCAAGAGTCCCCACCATAACAAGAAATGAGGGCCAGAGCAAGAGTACTGACCAAAGCAAAATAAATCCAGGCTGGAGCAAAATATATAGACAGTAACAGGACCCCAGCCATAGCAAATGTCCCAGCTGTGGCCATCAGGACCAACTTGTGGACTGCTCCGCTGAGGTCTTCATTTTCCTTTTAATCTCCTTTATGCTTTTCAAGCCTGATTCATGTCCTTGCTCCGCCCTCAGCAGTCATCTAGAAGTCCCCAGTTAGGATCACACCTCAAGGTTTCTGTGAGCTCTCCTTACCCAACCTTCTGGGGTCTGGGAACTCTCCCCAAATGACCCTCAAGCCTGTGATTCTGAGCATTATGGTGTCAGTCACTGCATGGCCTTAGGTAAGTTACCCTAACCTCTCCATCAAATGTGGAAGGTTGATCTGTTTTGTACCCCACTGATCTCTCTGTGTGGTGCTCACATAAGCTAGGAGACCCGAGCTTCCATTCTCTTAAGTTCCTCTTGTTCCAAGGCCTCAAGGAGTACCCCCTCTCTTTGTGACCCCCACTTGCTCTCGTGAGAGTTACAGCTTCCTTTCTGTCACAACCCTGAGAGAGAAAGGCCAGCTCCCCAATGCTTTTCTCTCCCACACTTCTCTGGCAGTCAGAGGCCGACACAAAAACAAGAGTGGGCATTGGCCAAATCAATCTATCTCAAGGCTGTGGGGAATTGGTGGGGTCAGGCAGCAGGGAAGAGGCAAAACCAGAAGACCGATAAACCTGTTCTTTCCTTTTTAGGCTGCCACAGAGCCCAAATTTCCTGCCACTCAACTGGCTCTGCAGAATTTTGACATGACTTACAGTGTGCAGTTTGGGGATCTTTGGCCATCAATCCGGGTCAGTCTCCTCTCAGAGCAGAAGTATGGTGCACTGGTCAATAACTTTGCTGCCTGGGATCATGTAAGTGACGAGCTGCAGCAGCTGAGTGCCAGGGACTTTGTGAATGAAGCCATCTCCCACGGGGAACTGGAGCCTGAGAGGGGCCAAACTGAAGCTCCATCCCCAGCCTCCTGGGCCTACAGTCCAAACCTCCGGTGTTTTACTTTCAACAGAGGGGATGTCAGTCGTTTCCCTCCTTCCAGGTAGGATCTAGAGCTGTGGCTGGGGTCATTCTGAGTATCTATGGATAGATAGGGAGAGACCATCTCATGTCCTTTATAATAAGGGTCATAATATTGCTCATATTTACTGAGTGTTTATACATACTAGGCCTTTTTCTAAGTGCTATGCCCATGTTATCTCTTTTCGTCAACAGCTCTCTGAGATATATATTCCTCTTTTTCATTTGAGAAAAATAAGATGCAGAGAAGTTAAGGCTCTTACTTGTTTTGGGTTCCTTAGATAGTAAGTGGTGCAGCTACTATTTAGACAAGGAGATCTGACCCCAGAAACTGTCCTTTAAACCTGCTCTGTGCTACTGCCACCTATTGAAAATAACCACCTCTTACTTGAGCTCTTACTGTACTCTCTCCAGTTAAAATGTGTTATTTACAAATGCTTTCTCATTTTGCCCTCATAGCCACCTGTCATACTAGGACAAGTAAACTCAAGGTACCAAGAAGAAGAGGGACTTGTCTAGGAAATGGGGCTTGCCTAAGGACACAAAGTTAGTACCAAACCTGGAGGGTCTTGGAGAACTTCCGGTCTGTTAATCCAGTGCTCAGATATATACACTAAAATTGAAAGAAAAAAGACTGTAATCAAATCCTAAATTATGCTTTAGAAATTGAGTAAAGGAGTGCTCAGTGTTAGTTGTAGGATGTGGGAATTGATTTTTGAAGAACTGACTCATTCATTTAACAAAGATTTATTGTCTACCAAATGGCAGGCATTCCTTAAGTGCCTGGGATAGGGGTGCAGAAGCCCTCATGGAGCTTACAGTCTAATGAGGAAAATAGGTATTTAAAAATTATTTATAATTGTGATAAGTGCTACAAAGGAGAAGTACAAGATGCTGTGAAGTCTTATAATTAGGAGATCTAACCCAGTCTTTTCTGAGGAAGTGAAATTTAAGCTAAAATCTGAAAACTTGACTAGGAATTAAGGTGGGTGACATGGGGATGAGGAGTTAACTGAGGCTACAAAAGCAGGCAGGAGCCAGATTATGAAGGTCTTTAGGCCATATGGGATTTGGACTTTTTTCTCTAAAAGGGAGAGGGAACCATGAAAGATTTTAAGCTGGGAAATGGCATGATCTAGGTTTTATTTTTTAAAATATCATTCTGACTACTGTGGAAAACAGATTGGAGAGGGACAATGATAGGAGTGTGGATGTAACTAAGGAGGCTATTGCACTAGTCCTAGCTACTGACTTGAGGGAAGGCTCTATGTTTAAGTAAGAGATGGGGCTAGGAAAATATGTAGGAGAGGCCATGTGTGGAAATCTTCAATGCCAGGGATTTGTAGGTTGTACAAAGGGAATTTTTCTGGTGGCCCAGGGATGCTTGTAATGGCTGGACTTGCTAGGATGGGTGGCTTCAGACTGTGTGCCCTGTAGTACATAGTGATGTAAATTGCCAAGATCTATTCTAGAGAACCACTGAAAAGGGTTTCCAAACAGGGGAAAGGCAATAATGCCCAGGGGTTATAAGCATGGGCTTTGGAGCAAAGAAAACCAGGAAACCTAGGTTTGGATTCTGCCTTCATCACTTACTAGACATGTGGCATCAGATAACTGATCTTTGGTTTCCTTAACTGGAAAATAATAGTAGTAATGGCTGACACTATAGCTCACTATAAGTGGGTTCACAATAATCCTGTCTGGTAGGTATTCTGATTACAGATGAGGAAATTTAGGCACAGAGAAGTTGAAGGTCACTCAGCTGATGAGCAACTGGGCTAGATTTGAAGTCCAGGCAGTTTGGGTTCATGCCTTATGGGTTTGTGGCAAAAATTAAATGAAATGGTGCACATCAAACACCTAGTTACAGTGCCTGCAATATAGCACTCATAAATACAGTCTTACTATTTATGTTACCCAATCAAAGTAATTCCATTCTGCAGGAAGATCATTTAGTCACTGTGGGGCTGGGATGGAGGAAATAACTGGGGCAGGATTGGGGACCAACTCAGAGGCATTGGTTTTAGGCAGAACCATGGAGTAAGAACAATGTGGTTTTCTAAGTTGCCTATGGTGCTTGGCTTCTTACTCAGGGAGGATACCTTGAAAGAGTGGGAGAAGCAGCCTCTATATGTTTGGGTTTTTTTTCTTCTTATCTTGGGCTCCCTACAAATCAAGAGGAGCCTGAGAGGGGCCAAACTGAAGCTCCATCCCCAGCCTCCTGGGCCTACAGTCCAAACCTCCGGTGTTTTACTTTCAACAGAGGGGATGTCAGTCGTTTCCCTCCTTCCAGGTAGGATCTAGAGCTGTGGCTGGGGTCATTCTGAGTATCTATGGATAGATAGGGAGAGACCATCTCATGTCCTTTATAATAAGGGTCATAATATTGCTCATATTTACTGAGTGTTTATACATACTAGGCCTTTTTCTAAGTGCTATGCCCATGTTATCTCTTTTCGTCAACAGCTCTCTGAGATATATATTCCTCTTTTTCATTTGAGAAAAATAAGATGCAGAGAAGTTAAGGCTCTTACTTGTTTTGGGTTCCTTAGATAGTAAGTGGTGCAGCTACTATTTAGACAAGGAGATCTGACCCCAGAAACTGTCCTTTAAACCTGCTCTGTGCTACTGCCACCTATTGAAAATAACCACCTCTTACTTGAGCTCTTACTGTACTCTCTCCAGTTAAAATGTGTTATTTACAAATGCTTTCTCATTTTGCCCTCATAGCCACCTGTCATACTAGGACAAGTAAACTCAAGGTACCAAGAAGAAGAGGGACTTGTCTAGGAAATGGGGCTTGCCTAAGGACACAAAGTTAGTACCAAACCTGGAGGGTCTTGGAGAACTTCCGGTCTGTTAATCCAGTGCTCAGATATATACACTAAAATTGAAAGAAAAAAGACTGTAATCAAATCCTAAATTATGCTTTAGAAATTGAGTAAAGGAGTGCTCAGTGTTAGTTGTAGGATGTGGGAATTGATTTTTGAAGAACTGACTCATTCATTTAACAAAGATTTATTGTCTACCAAATGGCAGGCATTCCTTAAGTGCCTGGGATAGGGGTGCAGAAGCCCTCATGGAGCTTACAGTCTAATGAGGAAAATAGGTATTTAAAAATTATTTATAATTGTGATAAGTGCTACAAAGGAGAAGTACAAGATGCTGTGAAGTCTTATAATTAGGAGATCTAACCCAGTCTTTTCTGAGGAAGTGAAATTTAAGCTAAAATCTGAAAACTTGACTAGGAATTAAGGTGGGTGACATGGGGATGAGGAGTTAACTGAGGCTACAAAAGCAGGCAGGAGCCAGATTATGAAGGTCTTTAGGCCATATGGGATTTGGACTTTTTTCTCTAAAAGGGAGAGGGAACCATGAAAGATTTTAAGCTGGGAAATGGCATGATCTAGGTTTTATTTTTTAAAATATCATTCTGACTACTGTGGAAAACAGATTGGAGAGGGACAATGATAGGAGTGTGGATGTAACTAAGGAGGCTATTGCACTAGTCCTAGCTACTGACTTGAGGGAAGGCTCTATGTTTAAGTAAGAGATGGGGCTAGGAAAATATGTAGGAGAGGCCATGTGTGGAAATCTTCAATGCCAGGGATTTGTAGGTTGTACAAAGGGAATTTTTCTGGTGGCCCAGGGATGCTTGTAATGGCTGGACTTGCTAGGATGGGTGGCTTCAGACTGTGTGCCCTGTAGTACATAGTGATGTAAATTGCCAAGATCTATTCTAGAGAACCACTGAAAAGGGTTTCCAAACAGGGGAAAGGCAATAATGCCCAGGGGTTATAAGCATGGGCTTTGGAGCAAAGAAAACCAGGAAACCTAGGTTTGGATTCTGCCTTCATCACTTACTAGACATGTGGCATCAGATAACTGATCTTTGGTTTCCTTAACTGGAAAATAATAGTAGTAATGGCTGACACTATAGCTCACTATAAGTGGGTTCACAATAATCCTGTCTGGTAGGTATTCTGATTACAGATGAGGAAATTTAGGCACAGAGAAGTTGAAGGTCACTCAGCTGATGAGCAACTGGGCTAGATTTGAAGTCCAGGCAGTTTGGGTTCATGCCTTATGGGTTTGTGGCAAAAATTAAATGAAATGGTGCACATCAAACACCTAGTTACAGTGCCTGCAATATAGCACTCATAAATACAGTCTTACTATTTATGTTACCCAATCAAAGTAATTCCATTCTGCAGGAAGATCATTTAGTCACTGTGGGGCTGGGATGGAGGAAATAACTGGGGCAGGATTGGGGACCAACTCAGAGGCATTGGTTTTAGGCAGAACCATGGAGTAAGAACAATGTGGTTTTCTAAGTTGCCTATGGTGCTTGGCTTCTTACTCAGGGAGGATACCTTGAAAGAGTGGGAGAAGCAGCCTCTATATGTTTGGGTTTTTTTTCTTCTTATCTTGGGCTCCCTACAAATCAAGGGGATCTTAACTTCTCAGGAGTTTAAGTATGTATTCAGGGAGTCCAGGAACCTCCTGAAATTGTCTGAAAAATCTTTTTCTGTTTCATGTGTTTGGAAAGAAGGACTTTAGCTTTCAGCAGATTCTCAAAATTGTCTGTGAAACAAAAAAAGGCTAAGTAGTGACACATCCAAAAGGGAGGAACTTGGTTGGAATGGATTTTGTGGGCCAGTGCTGGTGTGATAGCAGTTCTGTGCTTTTCTCAAGGTTTCTCAGATTTCTCAGATTTCTTGTCACTCTCCTTTGTGAGGCATGAGAACCACAGTTTCATAGACAAGCCAGCCTCACAACTGGGGATTGACCCTTGTAGTTGTAGTTGACCCTCAGTGGTGTTATATCCTATGTCTTGTCACATCTTTCTCCCAGAGCCTTCCTGTCAGGACAGCAAGGACAAGGTTTCAGTCTCTTTGAGTTTCAACGGCTGTCTGTGCTGGGTCTCAGACTGGGGATAGCTGCACTACCAGTTGCCCTTCTGTCAACTGGCCTGGGAGTGAGGAGTCTTCTGTGACCATTAGGTTGTTGTCTGTCATCCTCTCTCTGAGCACATGGCTGCTGCCTCTCTTTATGCCACATTGGCTCTCATTTGGACTCTTGTAACACCCTTGTCTCTGGGGTCTCAATTTCTGATTTGTTCTTTCTAGCCCATCTAACTTCCTAAGTCTGTCTAGCTGACCATGTCTTTTTCTTTAAAAATTTTGATAACTGCCTACAGTATATAGTCCAGTGTCCTTACCATATAGTTTAAGACTTTTACAACCTGGCCTCTATCTGCTTTCCAACCTGACTCTCATGTACCTTGTATTTCTACCACACCAGATTTCTCACTGTTTCTGAAAGAAGTTGTGACTTTGCATGCTTCTGTGCCTTTGATTGTTCTTTTTTCTTCTGCTTGGAATGTGCCTCCTCTTTTTTGTTTTTAACCTAATGAAGGCCTATTCATTCATCAGGTATAACTCAGTTAGCTCTGACAGGCACGATTGATGGCATTCTTCTCTAAACCCACAAAACACTTTTGTATTTCAGTATGTAACCAAATAAAACCAAGTTCTTACTATATGTCAGGCACTCTTTCAGTGTTGGGGAGAATACAATGACCAAAGCAAAGTCTCTGCCCTCCCTAGAATGGGGGGGTGGGTGGGGAGATACACACATGCACAGTTACACATACCTGTGAGTATAAAGTGAATAATAATGCTATAAAGAAAAATAATGTCAGATAGTAGGTGTAAGTAAGGGGGAGTAAGGAGTCTTCTGTTTTTAGATGGAGTAGTCAGGGAATGCCAGTGACTTTCTGATGAGGTAACTTTTTTTTTCCCCCTGGTTACAGCTATTTAGCCTTAGAAGTACTTCCATCTATAGCAGTCCCTCCAAAATGCCCTGTAGAGGTGATTTGTGGGAGGTAAATTCTCTCAGCTTTTGCTTATCTGAAAACTTTTTAATCCCTCCTTCAAATTTAAATGATAATCTTGCTGGGTAGAGTATTCTTGGTTCGAGGCCCTTCTGCTTCATTGCATTAAATACATCATGCCACTCCTTTCTGCCCTATAAGGTTTCTGCTGAGAAGTCTGATGATAGCCTGATGGGTTTTCCTTTGTATGTGATCTTTTTTCTCTCTATAGCTGCTTTTAAAAGTCTGTCCTTATCCTTGATCTTTGCTATTTTAATTATTATATGTCTCGATGTTGTCCTCCTTGGGTCCCTTGTGTTGGGAGATCTGTGCACCTCCATGGCCTAAGAAACTATCTCCTTCCCCAGATTGGGGAGTTTTCAGCAATTACTTCATAAAAGACACTTTCTATCCCTTTTTCTCTCCTTCTGGTATCCCTATAATGCAAATATTGTTCCGTTTGGATTGGTCACACAGTTCTCTCAATATTCTTTCATTCTTAGAGATCCTTTTTTCTCTCTGTGCCTCAGCTTTTTTGTATTCCTCTTCTGTAATTTCTATTCCATTTAATGTCTCTTCTACTACATCTAATAAGCTTTTAAATGCCTCCATTTATCTTTCATTTCAGATATGGAATTTCTTAATGTTTGAATTCCCATCCTAAATTTGTCCCTGAGTTCTTGAATGTTTTTCTGTACCTCTGTGAGCATGTTTATGATTTTTATATTGAACTCTCTTTCAGGAAGATTAGTGAGTTCAGTTTTATTTGGCCCTTTTTCTGGGGTTCGTTAGATTTTTGTTTGAACCAGTTTCCCTTGAAATTTTATATTTGTATGTGGCACCCTCTAGTGCCCAGAAGCTCTAGTCTCTGAAGCTACTCAGCTCTTGGAGTGATGTTGGGGGTCGCAAGGGAGCAGTGCTGGTACCTGGGGGGAGGAAAGAGCTGTTTCCTGCTTCCTGGCTGCAGTGCCGGTCTCCACTGTCAGAACCAGTGGGCCAGCACACAGGTGCAAGCCTCTGTGCTTTCCATCTGTAGCTGCCATAGGCCGGGCCTCCCTCTGGCTGGCCTAATGTCAGGGCAGGGACTGCCAGTTTGCGAGCCAGTGCCGGCAGGCCAGGAGGAAGGCACAGCAGGCTGTGTATCACAGTTGGGGGCCTCAGAGCTGAGTACCCAGCCAGGGGAATGGAGCGCCTGAAGGTCCTGAAAGTTCCCAACCTTCTGGGCAGAGCACATCCAGACAACCTTGTCCACCTATCCCTTCTCCCCCCATCTCCCGTGCAGCAAGCTCCATGCAACCTCTGCCCCTTCAGCAGCCCTCTCACTACTAGGAAGCATCTCAGACTACCCACCTTCCTTTGTCCCAGAGCAGCCAGATGTGGATCCCTGTCCTCCACAAACTACTGGAATCTCAGTCTCTCCAAGGATTCTGCCTGCCGTAGCTTTCCAACCCCACTGATCTCCAGAGCATGATGCAATGTAGGTTTGTGCTCCCAAAGCAGATCTCCAGGGCTAGGTGTTCAGCAGTTCTAGGCTTCCACCCCCTCCCTGCTCCATTTTTCTTCCTACCACCAGTGAGCTGGGATTAGGGAAGGGCTTGGGTCCTGCTGATCAAGGCTTTGGTATGTTACCCTGTTTTGTGAGGTTTGCTCTGTTCTCCAGCTGTATGCAGTCTGGTGCAGCCTTCTTTCCTGTTGCTCTTTTAGAATTAGTTGTATTAACTATATTTTCATATTATATGTGGTTTTGGGAGGAGTTCTCTGTCTCACCTCTCACACCACCATCTTGAATCGCTCTCTGGTGAGTTAACTTTTTTTATTTTTTTTATTTTGCTATCATTAATCTACAATTACATGTGGAACATTGTGTTTACTAGACACCCCCCATCACCAAGTCCCCCCACCCCCACCCCATTACAGTCACTGTCCATCAGCATAGTAAGGTGCTATAGAGTCACTATTGTCTTCTCTTTGTACAGCCCTTCCTGTGCCTCCCCCCTCATTATACATGCTAATCATAATCCCCCCTTTATTTCCCCCCCTTACCCTTTGGTAACTGTTAGTCCATTCTTGGGTTCTGTGAGTCTGCTGCTGTTTTGTTCCTTCAGTTTTTGCTTTGTTCTTATACTCCACAGATGAGTGAAATCATTTGGTACTTGTCTTTCTACATCTGGCTTATTTCACTGAGCATAATACCCTCTAGCTCCATCCATGTTGTTGCAAATGGTAGGATTTGTTTTCTTCTTATGGCTGAATAATATTCCATTGTGTATATGTACCACATCTTCTTTATCCATTCATCTACTGATGGACACTTAGGTTGCTTCCATTTCTTGGCTATTGTAAATAGTGCTGCGATAAACATAGGGGTGCATCTGTCTTTTTCAAACTGGGCTGCTGCATTTTTAGGGTAAATTCCTAGGAGTGGAATTCCTGGATCAAATGGTATTTCTATTTCGAGTTTTTTGAGGAACCTCCATACTGCTTTCCACAATGGTCGAACTAATTTACATTCCCACCAACAGTGTAGGAGGGTTCCCCTTTCTCCACATCCTCGCCAACATTTGTTGTTGTTTGTCTTTTGGATGTTGGCCATCCTAACTGGTGTGAGGTGATATCTCATTGTGGTTTTAATTTGCATTTCTCTTATGACTAGCGATGTGGAGCATCTTTTCATGTGTCTGTTGGCCATCTGAATTTCTTCCTTGGAGACCTGTCTGTTCAGCTCCTCTGACCATTTTTTAATTGGATTATTTGCTTTTTGTTTGTTGAGGTGCGTGAGCTCTTTATATATTTTGGATGTCAACCCTTTATCAGATTGTCGTTTATGAATATATTCTCCCTGATGAGGTAAGTTTTGAGGAGAGAACTGGAAAAAGTGGGAAGCAAATGAGGGATATTTGGGCAAAGAGTGTTTCAGGTACTACAAAAGCCCAAGACAAGAGTGAGCATGGCTTAATTAAGGAATAGCATGATGGCTATTGTGGCTGGATTAAAATGACTTGATCTATGTTTTGAAAGGGTTCCTCTGGCTGCTGAGTAGATTAATGAATGAATGAGTAAATCAGTGAGTACAGGTCTGAGAAATGAGTTTTTGCTGAATAGAGCTCAGTAGCCCCTGAGGGAACGGACTTGTTGGCCTTGACTTCCAGAGGGTCTCCTGACTTAGAATTTGACTACAAGGTGGTCTTCTTTCTTCTAGGTTTGGCAGCCTGGGTGTCATGGACTACTATCTGATGGACGCTGCCTCCTTGCTGCCTGTCCTAGCCCTTGGCCTGCAGCCTGGTGACACCGTGCTTGACCTATGTGCAGCGCCTGGAGGAAAGACGCTAGCATTACTGCAGACTGGCTGTTGCCGTAAGTCAGAAGGCTGATGTCTTGGGCAGGGAAGGCTTTCTACCTCATTCAGGCCAGGGCATACTGAATATGATGGGCTTTGTGGTGTTAAGGTCAGAGGGAGGATAGTGCTTGCTTCTTAAGCTGGTCTGTTTTCTGTTTGCAGTTATTTCCTCTCTCCATCAGTGGCCAGGGAAGACTGCTGAGCAGAGCAAGGTCTCTGAGGGTAGATTAAAGCAGGGCCCTAATCAATCTACCACATGACACATTTACCCTCTGTATCTTGAGTTTGTCTCTAAGATTAAGTTCCATTTCCTTAGCCTGTCAGCTAAAGTGGTAAGATCTGGGTGCAGCCACCTTTATAGCCTTACTTTTCATTCTTCCCGAGGCTTCATGTACTTCAGCCACATCATGCTACTCTCTGTTGCCCAAATAAGCCTCCACCTTTGTTCATGTTACATTTTCTCTTTAGAATACCCCCACCCTATCCTAGCTGGCCTGCCTACATCCTTTTAGCTTTCAAGCCTCAGCTCAAGTGTGCCAACTCTTGGAAGTCTTCCCTCATGGCCTCTGCCGGCCAGTTGGGAAGTGATGCCCATGCAACCATTAACACATTACCCTTGCATCAGAGCTTTACTGGATGTGCATCTGCTCCTTCTTCAAGATTATGGATTCCTTGGAGACAGGCCCAAGTCTGTAGTGTAGCCACCAGCCCAGGCCTTTGTGTGCTGTTGGTGTTCATTTCAGTGAGCCACTGGCTAATATTCTGTCTTAAAATAGGCAGCATTTTTTCCTTGGGGAGCTGAGAAGTATCCACAAGGGGCTGTGATTTCATTGTGGAGCTCAGCTGGGCTCCTCCTGCCATATGCCCTACCCTTTTTGTTGGGCCTGGACCCTTTTCCTTTTCTTATTAGCCAACGTACACAGTTTGAGTTAGCCTCCCACCTCATGGTAAGCCCTATGAGTGCTTCAGAGAGGTACCACATTTGGTCTCAGCCTTCTGGACGTCCATAGTGAGAGGATAAAAGATATTGGTATGGCTTAATGAGTCCCATGCAAGAGAGCCCAGCCTGTGTGCTGTGCTGTGCTGTGCTGATCTGACTGAATCCAACAGAAGAGGAATGAGTGAGGTAGGGTTACTTGGAAGAGGGGGAACTTGAACTAAGCAAAGGGAGAAAGGCCAAGGAGAAGTAACTGAGAGTTACTAAATAAGGTGTGCTGAATCACCGGCATCTCAGCTTCATCCTAGCTCCTCACCCAGTGATCCCTTGATCCCAGGGAGACAGGAATTTCAGTGCAGGAAGAGAACTTAGAGTTTACCTAGTCAAGCCCTCATATTTTATGGAGGGGGATTGAACCCTGGAGAGATTAAATAACTTAAATCTTTTACATGAATTAGAGGTAGAGTCAGAACTCAAATGCAGCTTTTCTGTTCTTAGTTCATAATCTGCTGCACATTGTTCTTGAGCAGAGAATCCAAGTTTACTTTTTTGAATGCCCTCAAAAATTGGGACCCTTTTTCCTTGTGGGAACACTAAGCTGTTTCATAGTAGTGACCACTCCCATTAGACAGAGTATATACTCTCTAGTTCTTCACTATAACTTCCACCTCCCCCTTTCACTCCTTGACACTGAGGTCAGGTATCAATAGCCATTCATCATCAAACTTGCCATAATGTATTTTCTTATAGTAGAGCCAACAGCCAAGTGAGATATTTCTTGAACTGTCTATCACAAAAGTGAAAATGAAGGATAGATGGTGGATCAGTTAGGATTAGGTTTGGTCACATACAATAGAGAACTCAACTAACTGGCTTAAGGAAGGTATGGAGGGCTAGCATGGAGCTAATATGAAGGGCTAGTAGAGGCTCCGCAATGATCAGGGACTGGGACTTCTTTCTTTTTACAAGCTATTTTATTGCTGATTTCCATGAGGAATGTGTCATGGTCAAATAGGCTGCTGGAACTCCAACATCACATTCAAATCTGAGGCAGGAAGAAACAGTTGGGTAAAAGGGGCACATATACTAATTGTGTCAGCTTCTTTTAAACATCTTCCAAGAAGTCCCATACAATAGTTCTGCATACAACTTGTTGACCAAAACTTAGTCATATAGTCATACTTAATTGTAAAAGGAGGCTGGGAAATGTAGTCTTTTGGGGGCATATTACTCCCCTTCCCACAAATAAATTGGTGTTCTATTACTAAGAAATTAGAGGAGAATAAATCTGGAGTAGTAAATCATATGTATTGTCTACCAAAGATGAAGAGAGACATATATTTCAAGAAAAGTGGGAAAGAGCATATTTCTTTAGAAATAAATATTATTACCTGGTCTGCTTTTTTATTTGCATAATCTTTCTGGCTATGTAGCTGTTTGCCTTTGCAACCTCTGCTCCAGAGTGTCTAGTACTGTGCCATGCAAAAAATAAACATTTCTCCTCAACCTGCCCTGCTTCTGGTGTCTGCATAGATTGTCTGTGCCTAAGAATTGGTCTTTCCATCAGCATCACTACTAGTGGGATGTTTCATTGGGCCATAGCCTCTGAAGTTTCTTGATTTCCACAGGCATAAAATGCCCATACTACCCAAAGCCATCTGTAGATTCAGTGCAATCCCTGTCAAGATTCCAGTGTTTTGTTTTGTTTTTTACGGAAGTAGAAAAACAATCCTAAAGTTTATATTCCCACAGGCAATCTTGCTGCCAATGATGTCTCCACCTCCCGAACAGGCAGACTGCAGAAGGTCCTTCACAGCTATGTGCCTCAAGATATCAAGGATAGGAGTCGAGTTCGAGTTACCTCATGGGATGGCAGGAAATGGGGGGAACTGGAGGGTGATACCTATGACCGGGTGAGTGGTTCCTGACCTGGGATTTCTAGCTACCCATATCTGGCCTCCCCATCCTGGCTCTAGGCCCTGAGTGGGTAGGATCTGGCCCTACATATTTGAGGGTATAGGGCCATTTATGGGCCTGCCAGGTCTCCTTGGGTGATTTAGAGAAAACATCCTGCCACCATTGGTGGTGTCAAACTTTCTGATTTTTGTCAAACTGATAGCACCTAATTTATATATTTATATTATGAATAATGTTGAAAGTCATTTCATAGTTTTAAATTATTTGTATTTTCTTTTAATTGGCATATTCTAAAAGTATTTATTTAAAACATATACTTCTAAAGATATAAAAAAAATACATAGCTATTGTCTGTGTTGTCATCTGATTCATTGATCTAATCTGTCCAGTTCTCACCATCGGGCCTTAACCAGTCTAAGAAATTGAAAGACCAAGGCTTATAGCATCTTGCATAGGCCTGAGAGACCTGCTTCCTGTCTATGTAGGAATCCTCTGTTCAGGATTTTGACATGGGCACAGTAGAATACAGTGGAGAGAGCATGACCTCTGCTGTTAGCCTAACTTGTTTCTGTATCACAGGGTTGTCACTTACTGATGTTGGGAAAGCTGTTTGATTTCACTGAACTTCAGCCTCTTCGTTAGTAAAATAGAGAATACTACTATGTAGAATTATTATGGGGATTCAATGAGGGTATGCAGGGAAAGTGCCTAGCATAGTACCTGAAAATAAAGCAGATAGTAGCCATCATCATTATTCAGCTTGGGCTTGTACACCTGCATTGACAGTAGCTCACAGAGGTTCTGATGTTAGAAAGTTATCCCTCTTATTGAATTAAAATCTGTAGATTGTATGGTATATGATTGAATACACGTATTCTAGTGTCAGCTGTTTGAATTGGAGTCCTGGCTCCATCACTTACCAGCCAGAGAAGTTTGGACAAGTTAATCTTTCAATTAAGCTTTAGCTTCTTTATCTGTAAAATGAGGATAATAGTAATGCCTGTCTCACAGAAGATTAAATAAGGATGCATTTAGCACAGCTCCTGGCATATAGACAACATTTAATAATATTGTCATTATCACGATGTTTATTATTTCCATTTATTGATCCTCGCTATGCCTTATGGAACAATACAGAATGAATTACCTCCCATTTCATTTGAAAGTGCTTCAGACATTTGGAAGCAGCGTTAATTTCTTGATGGTATCTTTGTCAATTTATTTACTGAACAAATAGTTATGTACAATATACTGTTTTAGGCAAGTGTAAGCACTCCAGTTGCAAAGAAGACTGCTATCTCAGAGCTCCACACATTCTTGGTAACTCCATCCCACCTTCAACTCTATCTGGCCATCAGCTGGAATAAGAACAGAACCCAAGTTCTATGTGTTAAAGTTAGATACTTCACCACTCAAAGCTTTCTTTTTGTATGCATTGCAGTTACACTTTCATCCCTTTGTATTTAGCCTAGCTGAGTAACTTCCTTTTAGGTTTGTTTCTTACATACTGCACAAGAAATATATTACCATCATCTCAGAAACTCTCTAATGCCCCTTTCTACCCTTCTAGACATAATCACTATTCTGACTCCTAAAACCATAGATGTTTTGAACTTTGTATAAATGAAATCATATAGTATGTACTGTAGAAGGTACTCTAGGCTGACTTCTTCTGTCACCATTATGTTTGTGATAGTCATCCATGTTGTCATCTGTAGCAGTGGTTTGTTCATTGTTGTTGCTGTATTATATCCCATGATACACATATATAACAATTTATTTGCCCACTTTATTTGTATTAGACAATTGGATTGTTTTCAGCTTTGGGTTATTACAAACAACACTGCTGTGAACAATATTTTTATTTTTTAAATTTTTTATTAAGGTATCATTAATATATAATCTTAAAAAGGTTTCACATAAGCCACATTGTGGTTATTACATTCACCCATTTTATCAAGTCCCCCCACACACCCCATTGCAGTCACTGTCCATCAGCATAGTAAGATGCTGTAGAGTCACTACTTGTCTTCTCTGTGCTGTACTGCCTTCCCTGTGTTCCCCATACATTATGTGTGCTAATCATAATACCTCTTAATCCCCTTCTTCCTTCCTCCCCACTCAACCCACCCTCTTTACCCCCTTCCTTTTGGTAACTGCTAATCCCTTCTTGGAGTCTGTGAATCTACTGCTGTTTTGTTCCTTCAGTTTTCTTTGTTGTTATACTCCACAAATGAGTGAAATCATTTGGTACTTGTCTTTCTCCACCCGGCTTATTTCACTAAGCATAATACCCTCTAGCTCCATCCATGTTATTGCAAATGGTAGGATTTCTTTTCTTATGGCTGTATAATATTCCATTGTGTATATATACCACATCTTCTTTATCCATTCATCTACTGATGGACACTTAGGTTGCTTCCATATCTTGGTTATTGTAAATAGTGCTGCAGTAAACATAGGGATACATGTGTCTTTTTGAATCTGGGATCTTGTTTTCTTTGGGTAAATTCCCACGAGTGAAATTCTGGGTCAAACGGTATTTCTATTTTTAGTTTTTTGAGGAACTTCCATATTGCTTTCCACAATGGTTGTGTTACCGAAAATACTAGAAAACCTGGATCACTGATGGAAGAACCAAGCGGTGCTCAGAGGTCTCATAGTGTTGAGGTTTTATTTCACACTGGCGGGCTCATAGGGGAGTAATCTGCCAAGGTGTGAGCCCTGAGCACAAGCAAGGGGAGCAATTTATATTATTTTGATATGTGGCATTTTGGCATGTACAGGGCAAAAGAGGAGCCTGGAGGAGGGAGCTGGGGGTGCTTTGCCAACTAGAGGAAAAAGCAATTTGCTGACCTTGATGGCTGTGTTGAATATTTTCCTTATCACTCCCCCTCTGATGCCCCTTTAAACACTTTGTTTTAGGGAGCATCATCTTCTTGGTTTATGATAGGGTTATAATGGCTTGTATTTATAATTTTAATTGCTTTGAGTAAGGATTTTTCCTTGTGACTTTTTCTTTAAAGTCCTGAGTACTTTGTGAAGAACACAAATGATTATGTTCTTATCCATTTGTCTGTATGGGCCTTGTGTGTACAAGTTGAAATGAGTCCTTCAGACTCTTGATAAATCTATGCTTAACAAAAAATACCCAGTTTTTCTCAATCTTAATTTATTTTTATGCAGCTGAGCATTACACTCAGGCTGGTTTATCTGAGTGTGAGAAGACAGGTGTTAAAGGTGTAGGGTCACTGACGGCTGCTCCCTTGGGTGATGACTATGCACTTTATAACTCTTGTACACTTAAACATTATAGAGAAGTACTTTGGAAATGCAGGCTGAGACTTGAGTTCAGCTAGGAGAATCAGGTAAGCACAGCAAAACAACTTAATGATTACACAGTAGATAATAGAAAGGGCAAATTTTCGAGGAACAGTTTAGTCAGAGGGAGCAGCAGCAGAGAGTTTAATGCCCAGGATGAGAGATTCCATTCTGGTGAGGGCCAGGATCCATGGTGTGCAGGTGTTCATTAGTCAGAGGGTAATCGTCAGATGCAGAGGCAGAGAGGATTCTGGAGGTCTGGCTGGGCTTCCACTGATGTATTTCTTTGTCTGGAGAATGGGCTCTTCTCACTCTGGAATGATGGGCCCATGGAGTCATGCCTGTAACTTTGAGGATAGTAGGAGTAGTTAGAACAACAATGTGGGGCCCAGTCTACTTAGGTTTGAGGGGTTCTCTTTTTCAATTTTTGACTCAGACTGCGTCCCTAGCCTGGAAGGAATGTACTGAGGTCCCTAAAGAGATCAGGGCTCTTTCTGTGGTACATTGCTGCAGCTTATTTAGGGTGGCTCTTAAGGCTTAGAGCTGTTCTCTTACTCTCTTATTTCTTATCTGGTGTAGCTTCCATGGGAGGCTTCTTAGACACAGGGGAAGGTGTTTATACACTAATTCAAAAGGGGAAAAGCCTTGAGTCCCAGGTGTGCAGCGAGCATTCAGGAGAGCCAGGGGCAGTAGGTCTGGCCACGGGAGGCCAGTTTCTTGGCAAAACTTACCTAGGGTTCCTTTGAGGGTGCGATTTATTCGTTCCACTTTCCCTGAACTTTGTAGTTGGTATGCAGTGTGGAGTTTCCAGGTAGTGTTGAGAGATTTAGTTAAAATCTGTCCTGCATGTGCAATAAAGGCAGGTTAGTATTGCTTTTTTTTTTTTTTAG